TAAAACTTACGAGTTTTTACACTTAGTTTTATGTGGGAAATCTAACAGACAAAGCATAAAACTTACGAGTTTTTACACTTAGTTTTATGTGGGAAATCTAACAGACAAAGCATGAGACTGTCGAGTTTTTACACTTAGTTTTATGAGGGAAATGTAACAGACAAAGCATGAAACTTACTGACTGTCGAGTTTTCACACTTAGTTTTATGTAGGAAATTTAACTAACAAGCACAAAAACCATTACTCATTTCATTAAAGATTACTTTTACTACAAAACTGTGCCTGTAATATAGCTGAAGTATACACGCAATACAGTAAAACTTGAAATGTCGTTACCGTAGAGAAACCCCGGAATAAAACAAAAACACAACACATATAAAACGGTTTAGGAAGAAAGTTACCTTACAATAACAAGGAAATTAAGGTACAGGTCAAACTGAGATCACTAGGTGAACATCGTCAATTTTGATATGTTAAACCATTTAAGGAACGTTTTTGTTGTAATAATATCATTGGAATAAAATAAGCTTAGGAAACACTAAATAAGCGTTTCGTTTTTAGAATAACGGAAATAATTATTAATGAATAAGATGAGAAACGTCTCAATTTTAGAGCTCCTTTAATTAAGAAGTTGCAGTGGTGAGGGTTAAACTGTGAAGGTGAAACGTTAAATGTCGTACTTTGAAACGTAAGTAGTTCAAACTACATTATCAAAGAATTTAAAGACAGTCGTAGTAAACTTACCATTTGTAGAATGTGTCTTGGAATGAAACTGACGTACACCTGGATGCTTTCACTCTCATTGTGGACAGGGCGGATATGTTTCTTATAGTCTTTCAAAATATTCTCGCGAAGTCGTTGTTCATCTAATAGAAGTAAAACAAGAGGATACAGCATTAAATATATAAACCGAACAGTTTAGACAAACTAGAATTAGTAAAACTATAAAACACCTCTCTAAAGTTGGTTTTATCTGAAAAATATCTATTATTATGAATGGACCAAATGACAAGAACATTAAGAAGTGTATAGGTTTTTCTTGTGATATCCGTTAACATTGCGTAGGAAGCGGTATGATATAGGTCAGCCAACTCTAATCTAACTTAGTGTTATTTACCATATACAAATATATATATATATAATAAGCATTAAAGAGATTTTGGTAGAGTTACCACTATCAGTCCTAGTTGTCACCTTAAAGTCATGGCGGATAATGCCTTTGGTAATAACTACCAGATGCGTTGAAGATATCCCATCCAAACGCTCATGTTAAACTAGCCAGCAAACATGGACAATCAATTAAAAGTGAGGAGTTGAGTGCTTACATCCAGAACTGCCCTTCACTGTCTGCAGCCAACTGTGGGAAGGCGGTTACCTTTAAATGTTCTTACAGCTTTTAAAGTAAAAATGAAACCATCATAAAATTTATACCATGTGAAACTCCCAACCTCCGCCGTTGCAAAATAAATTAAATTAAAAAGTCTTAGATAGAACTACCGACTCTACCTAAATAGTTCTTACGTAGTTCATGCATTCTTAATGTGTCTAAGATCAGCACTCTATAGTGAAATAATATTATTGGGTAATTATGTTCTCAAGAGATAAAATTAAATCAACTCGATAAAAATTAAAAGCTAATAGATTTTTAAGATAATTTTTAAGATAATTACCGTGCCGATAATGTACCGATATTTCAATTTTATGAATTGTTTGTAAATCATTTTGTTTTACTACATATTCATGTTGTAAAATAATAATAAGTAGCGTATATCATTTTTTGTTTCACTTCTTTACACCAGAGGGCGAAACGAAGAGATTAGAATCGAGTTTCTGTTTACATTATTGTAATGACTTGAAAGAATGACACATGAAACCAAAATTTCCGAGTTAATATCATCAAATAAATCACAAAGAATATTCTGAGTTAGAAGTTAGGTAACTGTTAGTTGAAGTAATAAGTAGTGGGAGTCTTCCTATGAAATCATACTCCAATGTCTGTCCCTCCAGTGGCACAGCAAACCGGGTTTTGATACCCGTGGTGGACAGAGCACATATAGACCACTGTATAGCTTTGTGCTTAACTTCAAAACAAACAAACAATACAATGCCTGAAATATTTCCACATTAAAAATGGCACTTATATATAGTATCCCATCTAGTCAATAGAGCCTGTAAAGTGCACTTATATATAGTATCCCATCCAGTCAATAGAGCCTGTAAAGTGTACTTATATATATAGTATCCCATCCAGTCAATAGAGCCTGTAAAGTGCACTTATATATAGTATCCCATCCAGTCAATAGAGCCTGTAAAGTGTACTTATATATATAGTATCCCATCCAGTCAATAGAGCCTGTAAAGTGCACTTACATATAGTATCCCATCCAGTCAATAGAGCCTGTCAAGTGCATTTATATATTAGTATCCCATCCAGTCAATAGAGCCTGTAAAGGGCACTTATATATAGTATCCCATCCAGTCAATAGAGCCTGTAAAGTACACTTACATATAGTATCCCATCCAGTCAATAGAGCCTACCAAGTGCATTTATATATTAGTATCCCATCTAGTAAATAGAGCCTGTAAAGTACACTTATATATAGTATCCCATCCAGTCAATAGAGCCTGTAAAGTACACTTATATATAGTATCCCATCCAGTCAATAGAGCCTGTAAAGTACACTTATATATGGTATCCCATCCAGTCTACTCAGCGCATGTGTCAAATGATCACAAGCCTACTTGTTAGATAACAATAATAAACGGTTTAATGCGGATTTCTACGATCAGAAATATTTACACTCTTGTTAGACAGAGAGTACGTATATTACGATGACCTAACACATTCGGGAAGCACGGTGAGACATACATCTCTACAACTTTACATCAGTAATACGTAAACCACGAAAACAGAACGTGTATACAGCATAAGAAACACTACAGATGAACATAAAAAATACATTATTGTTGGAGAAATAAAGCAGAATTCGTGTGTAGCAGTGAAAAAGCTTGTTTATTACTATGTGCGATCCGAAGCTGATAAGAGCAATACAGTCAATAACAAAAACAAAGTATCAGTTATGGGGTTTTTATTCATTTCAGTAATTTTAAAGTCACCACAAGTTGTACTAACCTTTAATTTGTTTTGTTTTGTTGAATTTCGCACAAAGCTACTCGAGAGCTATCTGCTCTAGTCGTTCTTAATTTTGAAGTGACAGAAAAGAGTGAAGACAGCTAGTCAACGCCTCCTACTGCCAACTCTTGGGTTACTCTTTAACATCGAAAAGTGAGATTGGTCGTTACATTATAGCGCCCCGACGGCTGAAAGGGTGAGCATGTTCGGTGAGGGGATCGGCGATCCGCAAATTGGGAGTCGAGCGCCCAAACTTCCATGCCATGCGAGGCCCACAAACTTTATAAAATTTTATTTCTACATCCTAACTTGAATAGAACTCACCTGTGTAATCGCTCCATACCACAGCAAAAACTGAAACACTCCAGAAAAAGAAAAACAATCCAATTTTCATCTTTATCTTATTCAGCATTCAACGTAATTAAGGTGGCTTGATAAGACTTCAGGCAAGTTCCACCGTATTGCCGAGTTCTTCAGTGTTAATCCAAAATCTTGTGTCGTTTCTAGTAATATCCGTACCATTCCGTTGCTGTCCACTTCCCTTACCAGATACCACCCACTGGTGTAGTTGTAGTATTACAATTACACACGCGAACTATCATGACCTTACTAGTCGTCTTTGTTTTCATTCACTAAGTAGAAAAATGTTAGTAACTCATATAGGATATCACAAGTCAGTGAGGACCTCACGAGCTTTAACGTACAAAACACGCAGAATCACGTTAGCCTGAAGTAAATAAAAAAAAATGGTTTCTTTCTGATCGTTTTACACGAGAATATAGGTACAATCAAATTAAATATATTTATGTTCATAAACGAGTTTTACACATTGTTAAAATGTTAAAAATCATCACTCATGATTTATATGCTGTAATAATTCATGTTGTCTGTTTGTCTGTCTGTAAACTCCTCCAATAATTCTGAAGCTAGCAATACTAGATTTGGAGGATCCGTTGGTTTTCCTTATCTGCATGGAGCATCCTCCCAACGAAAGATAACTAAAACGACTCCAGAAGGTTATCCAGGTATTATGGAGTCTCGGAGTAGGCTTGCAGGGTCGCTGAACACGGGTCTGGAATCGGAGTTTGCTCTTCCCCGGAATCCCGGGGACACCACTTTCGAATCTCTATTCATATCCCCACTCACAAGCTGATGGTTCCAAACTTGGCACACGTGTTCATGTACCACGGGTGACTGTCCTAACGGGTTGTTTCGGACCCACTTTTTTTCTTTCAAGAAGAGTAAACCTTTTAACTCAATGAAATACAACAATTGACAGCTTCCAAGTTTAAGTTTGCAACTTATCGCATGTTTCAGATGTTTGAGTAACATTGTTATTTTTTTAACCACGTTTCCATATTAATACGATGTTGTTTTTAAGCCCTGAATTGGTAGCCTTCATATCAAACGATTACATTTTTCACAATCTGTGAACTTTATATGTTACTTATTTTTTTTATTCTACATATTTCGTTGTCTATTCAATCACATTACCTCGCAAAAGTTGACGTATTAGGCCTAGAGTTTGTTCGTTTATGATATTTATGTTCGTAGGACTATAGGAAGTCAGTGATGATGATGATGATATAATGCTTCTGTAAGCTGTGTGGAAATATTTAATGTTGGAATACGTAAAGATTTAATTTATCTTACCTTTTGGGTTTATTTGTGTTAATTTCGACTAGCAAGCCAAAAAAATACCTAAAAAATCAAGGTTACGCCTAAAATGATTATTTTGAAAGAAAATGGTGTACTTAAAACAAGAGAATTCCGTCTCTAATATATTGTTGCGTCAGCGAGGTCACGTGACTAGTGTCACGCCACGTTTCTAGAACTATCTTGTTCCTTCGTAAATGCCCTAGCATTTACTAGATATATGTTTGTCTGGTATATATATAAGACGCTCACAACGTGACAACAATGTGTGTAGGTAGTGAGTAATTGAACTGCAGTCAGAAGTATTGTTGAAGTTAACGTTCGTTGTTATAACGTTTGTTATAGAGCGACTGTTGAAAATAAGTGTCTCGGTAAAGTTATATTCAGAAAGAATAAACCAGTTTTATTAAGTAAGGACTTGTGTCGCTAAAGTTTCAGTCGGAACGAAGTTACGGAAAATTAATTAACAAACGGAGACGTAACAGTATCTTTATGAGAAAGTATTATGTCTGTTTAATTATATGTGTAAGTTAAGGAACATAGTGGGATAATATTCTTTATTTTTACCATTGGTCACTGGAATAACGAAGTTATGATCATACTTACAGCTGTAGAGTAGAACTCTTGTATACTGTTGTATACGTGTATTTCAAACGATATAGTAAGCTTTTCTTTTCTCCTGGTCGTTCTCCTTTCTCTTGCTTTGGTTTGAAAAGCGTTGGCACCGCCCCTTCTACCCCCATAAACTTTAAGTCCCCCTGAAATCAATCAGGAATGAAATGTTCCGTCACAAACATCACTATTTTTTCTAAAGGAGATGTTTCCATGTAATGTCTCGTTCCTACGTTATGTAGACATTATTTGTCATTTCAATTTTCTTCTGAATTATTTTTGGGATGTTGTTTGTTGATTTTCGCCAAAGCCTACTCGTAGGCTACCTGTGATAGACTAGAGGGAAAACAGCTAGTCAGCACCACCCACCGTCAACTCGTGAACTGCTTTAATCAAATAGTGGGATTTAACTGTCACTGATATTTGTTTGTTTGTTTAAATTTATACACAATGGGCTATCTGTGCTCTGCCCACCACGGGTGTCGAAACCAGGTTTCTAGCGTCGTAAGTCCGCAGACATACCGCTGTGCTACTGGGGGGCGTCACTGATATAACGTACCTTGTGTCCGAAAGGGCGGAGTCCATTTTTTGGTGTTAACGAGACGCGAACCACGAAACCTCAAAACTACAATCTGGTATGCACGGCTTCAGGATTGAAGACGTAGTAAAAATATTTAATTTTCTATTAAGCTATAATAAGCGCAAAAATAAAACATCTCTAAGTTTTGTTCTCTCACCTTAAAAAGAAACATGAGAGCTAAATAAGACCTGATGGCACTTTAAGGTTACCTTAATGATAAAATCAAGAATAATAGCCTTTAATTGAATCCAAAAATGTCACTTCTTCATAGATCTTGGCCTTGGTAAAACTATCTGATATCACGATTTGATATCATAGATCTTGGCCTTGGTAAAACTATCTGATATCACGATTTGATATCATAGATCTTGGCCTTGGTAAAACTATCTGATATCACTATTTTAGAACGAGAGAAAAATAATAATATTAACCTAGTCATCCGTTGCTGACCCCAGTGGCATAGCGGTATGTCTGAAGGCTTTTAATACTAAAACCCGGGTTTCAATACCTGTGGTAGGCAAAGCACAGATAGTCCGTTGTGTAGTTTTATGCTTAAGTATAAAACAAACACCTGTGGCTTGATTATTATTCCTGACAGTAACATGAATCTTTAAAAAACTTATTGTAATAACCCCCACATACACACATGTATACAGCCGTGGTCAAAATGTTTGCATATTGTTCTATATTGATGTTATTGTCTACATGCGTGGGGTATTTATTGAGTAAATACCCGACTAGTTACAGAGAAGGTAGCGTATGATTGGATAAATATGTATGAGTTGTTATTCTGGTCTCTATAAGTTGTTTTGTTCGTCAAAACACACACACCTGTTTTGTATAAAAGGGATGTGCTTTTGGTGTAATATTTTTCGAAAAAGATCGACGCTTTCTCTGTATAGCCTGGTGGCCAAACCATGATTTGGGGCTGAACTTGGAATTATCGTACAGACAATGTTTTTTGACTAATTTTATACAATTTCTCTGTATAGTATTTAGTGTAGAGTCATGCTGCCTTGTCACGTGCCAGAAGTTATAGGCCGTATAACTGTTCGACTGTTCATAAATGGTATGAAGCAAACAGACATTGTCAGAACAGTAGGTTACCCTCAATGTACTGTGCCCAGAATTCTAAAACGTCATTGAACTACAGGAACTGCTACTGGTTATATCCGAGATGACTATGTTTTGATCAGATAACACGTTAAGGTCAAAACAAGTCTTGCAACATCTTACGGCAGGAATTGCGTGAATACATTCATTCCAGGCCATCCAGAAGAACAGTGACTAGGGGACTGACCAAACAATGTTATGAGATAACTATGTTTTGATCAGATAACACGTTAAGGTCAAAACAAGTCTTGCAACATCTTACGACAGGAATTGCGTGAATACATTCATTCCAGGACATCCAGAAGAACAGTGAATAGAGGACTGACCAAACAATGTTATTTTGTAAGAAAGGCTGTCTACAAACCCATATTAACCAGAATTTACCATGTTACTTGGACAAGAAAGCATGCCAACTTACAGTTAGGCAACTGGCGACATGTCATCTTTTCAGATGAGTCCTGTTTCTGGCTTGTTAAAGCTGATGGTAGAATTCGTGTTGGTCGTTTACCTGGAGAACAGCTGAGGAAAGACTATTTTTCCCACAGAGAATGCACAGGAGGTGGTGCAGTACATGTTTGGGTAGCTATTCATGATGGTGGAAAACTGTTCTTTATATCTTCCAGTAAAATGTCAATAGCGTCTCCTACAGCCATCAAATGGAGACGATATGGAGGCAAGGTTTGGAAATAACTCTGTATTCCAGGATAATAAGGCCACTGCCTACAATGCACATATTTTATAGGATTATCTCGACAAAGAGGACGTTACAAGACTGCTTTTGCCAGTAAAGTTTCCAGATTGTAATCCCATTGAGAACTGTTGGACAGAACTGAGCTACAAAATTGCTAACCACGACCATAAACCAGCTACTGTAGCTGAGTTGCAGAGCTTACTAGTGACAAGTAGTGATTAAGTCACGGTGAATTACATCAGTAACCTCATCGACAGCATGATGTCACCTTGCAGAGGTTATTAGAATACAAGGAGGACCAACCAAGTACTGAATGTTTAATATGAACTGATACAAGGTTACAGACGCTATTTATGATAACGATGTTATATTTTGTCTATATGTATGTTTTGGTAAGGTTTGGTTGTACTGAATTACACTTCTTTCTACAGATGTCTGATAAAATTGTATTTTTCTGTTCTAATAAATCGTTCATAATTTCCAAAAAAACCTGTCTGATTATACAAATTACATATATAAATGTTTAATATAACATGCATTTCTCAGTTTGGCAGCACTAAATGTATTTGTTTTCCATCTTAATGACTTACAATGCTAGAAACCGGGTTTTGATACCCGTGGTGGGCAGAGCACAGATAGCCCATTGTGTAGCTTTGTGCATAATTACAAACATCCATCTTAATAATAATGATCTTATTTGTTACAAAATATGTAAACATTTTGTCCAAGACTGCATTATCTCTTCACAGCATCTAGTTTAAGGCTGAATCTTTCTCTACCACCTGGAGCCTGTGTGTCTTTGTTTACTGTGACCTCAGTGGTTTAGATAACAGAAATGCATCCAAATGGATTGTTGCCCGAAAATTGAACAT